AGATAAGACCTTCTGGAGGAAAGTTCTGTGGTCAGATGAAACAAAAATCGAGCTTTTTGGCCACAATGCCCAGCAATATGTTTGGAGGAGAAAAGGTGAGGCCTTAAACCCCAAGAACACCATGCCTACAGTCAAGCATGGTGGTGGGAATATTATGCTGTGGGGCTGTTTTGCTGCCAATGGAACTGGTGCTTTACAGAGAGTAAATGGGATAATGAAGAAGGAGGATTACCTTCACATTCTTCAACATAACCTAAAATCATCAGCACGAAGGTTGGGTCTTGGGCGCAGTTGGGTGTTTCAACAGGACAATGACCCCAAACACACATCAAAAGTGGTAAAGGAATGGCTAAATCAGGCTAGAATAAGGGTTTTAGAATGGCCTTCCCAAAGTTCTGACTTAAACCCCATTGAAAACATGTGGACAGTGCTGAAGAAACAAGTCCATGTCAGAAAGCCATCAAATTTAACTGAACTTCACCAATTCTGTCAAGAGGAGTGGTCACAGATTCAACCAGAAGATTGCCAGAAGCTTGTGGATGGCTACCAAAAGCGCCTAATTGAAGTGAAAATGGCTAAGGGACATGTAACCAAATATTAGCACTGCTATATGTATATTTGTGACCCAGCAAATGTGATCACTTTTCTCTGTTAACCCATAATAAAGACATTAAAGAACCAAACTTCATGAATGTTTTTTTGTGACAAAAAAGTATCTGTTCCAATCACTCTATCAGAGAAAAATCAGAGTTTTAGAAATAACGGGACACTCAGTAGAGCCATTATATTATGTTTTTTACAAGTGTATGTAAACTTCTGACCACAACTGTATATAAATACATTTGATTTGATTTGAGACTCCCGTGGTGTGAACCACACGAGTAAACCGTCCCGCATCACTGATGCCTCCAGTGTGGATCCAGCGTAAGGTTGGATGAAGGTGGGAGGTGAATAAGGACATTTAGTGTAAAGTAAGGAAAACCAAACATCAATATTAAAATATGACTGAAGAGAAGTTTTCTTGCAACAACTTTAAAGCTGTTTGGGATGAAGGTCACAACAGACCAAAAAAAGGTCAAATCAGGCCTGTTTTCGTTATTGGGATAAATGATGATGATGACATCACGTAAACCCTAAATGATTTTATCTATGTTGTCTTTTGATGTTTCTTCCTACACACAAAGTTTACCTTCTGATGTATGACGTGATCATGTTGACCCTCCTGCTTTTACTGTCAGTGCTTCAAATGTTAAAACAATGTTTCTAAAATGCAATGTGAGTTAGAGTCCTGGTCCGGATATCATCACAGGAAGGACTTGAGCAGGTCAGCTATGGCACTTTCGATGTGCTTGCTTGCTCAGCAACAAATCCTGTGTGTGTGGAAGGAATCAGTGGTTGTTCCAGTTCCAAAGAGAGTGTTTCTTAAAGAACCTAATGTCTACAGGCCTGTTGCACTTCTATCCTTGTTGATGAACGCCTGCAGTGAAGCGGTTCTTAACTTAAGTGCAAGAGAAATTGGACCCCATGCATTCTGCATATCAGATGCTACGGTAACTATGCTACATTTGATATCTGAACTAGAATATTGGTTTTTCTTTTGCTGATGCTGATGTTGATGTGTTGGTCATGATTTTTGAGCCAATATCTAAATATTTCCTACCTTATTTACATGATAAAATGTCACTGATAACATCAGTTGATGCCCAACATTTCTGCTAAATCCGTTTTTAAATGCTGAATTTAACCAACAGTTTGATCTCAAACTTTTTTACTGCTTAGTGTTAAAATCAGACATCTGACTAAAGTTAAACAAGTCAAACTTGGTGTACAAAAAAATATTTGAAAATTATTTTAAAGCGTTTATTAAGCAGATGCTACTCAGAAATGTAAATATGCATTTAAATTAAATTCTGCAGCAGCACCGGGCTGCCCAGGATGAGCCCGACTTTAAATTGGCTTTACTGAGGAGGTATATTGGGATCAGCCAATATATGAAAAACTGAAATGTCAGCCCGATATATCGGTCTACCGCTGGTCTAAACACACAGAGAATAGTAAAACTCATGCTGGGCTCTTGTTTGCTGTATTCCTCGGCTTTTTACTAAGACTCTGCCTCAGATTCTTCGTTTATAAATATTGAAAGATTTTTAACTCAATCAGGGTCTGGTACAATGGATCCATGACTTTTTTTATCGTGTAGACCTCAGAGGGTGAGAGTGAATGGAGTCCTCTCAAAGAGGAAGGTGTCTTTCCTAGAGTCTCCACAAGGGTGCGCCCTTTCTCTGCTCTGGTGTGTTCTGTACACAATGGAGGAGTCATTGTCCTGGCTGGTGTTTAATCTAGTTAGATGGTACAGTGCTGATCCTTCTGCTGCAGGATGGAGGCTGACCTGTTGTGGAGGTTGTGAAAGCCACTCTCTAAACCTGAATGAGGAAGAGGACATGAGCCTGGGCCTCAGAGGTGGTGGAGTCATACAAATACTTGGGAACTGTAATTAATAAACAGTTAAACTTCAATCAAAATATATCTGAGATTTATAAACATGTTTGAACATCAACAGAACACTGTTTTATTCCTTTTGTTGGGTTTTATTTCATGGAAACATGTCGCTTCAAAACAAAAGAGCAGGATTGTGTCGGAAGTCACTACAATAACCAGCCAAGCTAATGTCCCCGCCAGGTACTGCAATGGCGCCCCCAAGGGCAATTTCTGCCCCCTCAAGAAAAATCCAGTGTTAATAAATCATATTAATGTTCACTCAAACCATAAATTGATCTTGTTTATTCAAGTCATAATTGTAAAACAAAATAAAAATAATACAATTAATGAGTAAAGAAATAATCAGAATAAAGACATACATATGTTTCTGTTGCTCACCATTTTAAACAAGTTTTTATCTCCATAGTTTTTGGTGAACACATCAACAGGTGAATTAAACTAAAAATGTGAATTTAACATTTTAAATAACTGAAATGTGTTTTTCTGAAACGTTTGCGTTTGTAAAATTTAAGTTAAATGGATACAAAAAGTTTTCTTTTTAATAAAAAACAAATAAAGGGGCAATGCAATACATTGCCATGGGCTAAACTCTACCACATGGACCATTTTTGTGTGCCAGCCCAAAAAACTCTTTGGCTCCATCTGGCCATCTCTATCACAATTTTCTGGAGGCGCCCCTGAGGTACTGATGAGACGGGACTTGTTTATGCATAGGTTGATTCTATAGTTATGCTTTATTGCTGTCATCATGCACAAACGCATCTTTTTTCTCATTCTAGGGAATTTGTGAGCTCTAAGTTGTGCCGTGACTAATTTCCTCTCTTCTTCGAGCTGTTGTGAGATGGTGAACAAGCCACTTCTTAGTTCATCACCACCAGCAGCTGGAGGGGGGTGGGACTGGGACTCCTTATGCTATTTTCATCAATATAAAAATTAATAACAAATAATAGTGATTGTCTGTTGGCCTGGGGACCATTGTTAAAGGTGCATGCTGGCACCTCCTGTTTTGAACTTCACAACCCCAAACCACCTGTGGGCAATGTAAAGTCAAGGAGAAACAGGCTCCAGAATTACGTTTCCCTTTGCTGTCAACAAGCTGAATTTGTACAATCGTTGAAAGTCAGTGGTTGGATTACATTTCATTTTTATCTAACTGCTTTTATTGTATAATTCAGCTCTAATGGGGTCCACTAGTCTGCTGGTGAAACAGGAAAATTAAAATCTGGTGCAAAAGTTCATTTATTTCATTAATTCAGTGTATAAGGGTAAACTAATACATGAGATAGACTCATTCCATGCAAAGCCCGATATTTCAGCCTTCATTTACTATCATTGTGATGATCATGGCTTACAGCTGATGAAAACCCCACATTCAAATCTAAGACAATTAGAATATTGTGAAAAGGTTCAATATTCTAGACTCAAAGTGTCACTCTAATCAGCTGATGAATCCAGAACGCCTGCAGAGGGTTCCTGAGCCCTTAGATCCGGGGGGTCAAACTCAAATGCACGCTGGGCTGAAATGAAAAACTGGGACGAAGTTGTGGGCCAAACCAATATTTATTGAAAAATTTTCACATTTACCTTTATCTACAGATATGTGTTGCTGAATCTTTTCATTTGGAAACAAACTTATGTTTGCATAAACACTGAATCTGGTGTGACCAGATTACACACGAGCATGTAATGTTTAAATAAAACACATTTTATTTAACCTTTATTTTTATTTAACCTTTATTTAACCAGGATAGAGACCCATTGAGGTTAAGAACCTCTTTTACAAGGGTGTCCTGGCCAACACATCAGTTGTTACTCATTATGTCTCAATCATGTTACTTTTTTATTCCTTAAAATGCGTATTCAGCATATTTGAATTTTTAACCTTTTGAATCTTTTAAGTATTTGTTTTGTTTTCTTGTTTATTCTTATTTTTTACTCTCCTTTTTTGCCTGTGATGTTTTTGCTAGCCTGGCCAGCAAGCCAGCCAATGTTTCCTTATGAGAATGTCACAGAGCGAGTCTGGCAGGCCAGGCTGTGTGACACCAAGCTGTCCCCACTGAGGGACAATACAGGGATTCTCCATTCTGTTCTTCCATGTCCTCTCCAGTTCTCATTTTAAAGTAGGTTAATTCTTTTTTAGAGGTCAGCAACAAAAACCAAAAAATAGCAATTCTCTTATATGCAAATATCTCACCTTTCATGCTTTGAAGCGGAAAAAGGGCATGAAAACAAAATAATTCAAGCTCAGTTTGCTCCACTATGATGCTCACCTGTTCCAGCCAGAAACACATGCATCTCTGGGGTTGGGCTCTGACCTGAGGATGGAGTTCATCAGTGAGACTCCTGTGTTGTCTAGTTCATCTTCATCACAGACAACAGTTGCTCACATAGATATGTGCTGCTGAACATGGAGAGCATGATTTAAGCTGCTGCAAACCAAGTGTCCCTCTGGGACAATAGTTTATCATACGCAACACCAGAAAACACAACAGCTGCGCGGCTTTCAGTCAGCATATTTTATTCTTTTACAAATGTGCTGCACCTGATGTTACATTTGAAAATATAGTCTATAAAAAATGAGTGGCGTAAGACAACTTTCAGCTGAAATATCAATAAGCAACTTTTTGATGCAGTTTTTGGCTTAAATGCTAAAAAAAATTCAAATAAACTAAAACTTGTTGGCCAATAAAATATACAAACTCAGCAAAAACACAACTTTTGATTTATTGAATAATTTTCAAATTAAAAAAATATTTTTGAATAAAGTCATGTTTCAATATCAAGATAAGCTGATGTGAATCTTGACCACTTGCTGTCAGAGATGCAACACAATCACAGATGATGTCTCCAGGAGAGAAAAGTTCTTTTTGTCTCCCAGTGAACAAGAGAAGATTGTTACAATGTTGATTTCTTCAACACCAACTGGTTAAGAAACAAAAAAAAAACTGCCATCAAAATGCCTTTTAGTCCAAATATCAGTGTCTGCTGAGCAAATCCTAAAGTTCAGCTCTGTTTTGGGCGTTTTGCGTTTGAGATGTCAGAAGTTGCGTCGGCCGGTTTCTTAGAAGCAGCCTTTTTCGGTTGTTTGCTCTCCGGATCAAAAAGCGCGTTCCTGAGAAAGCGTGAAGCAGCTCCTTTATCCAGACGAGCAGCTTTCTTTTTGTCAGTGATCTCTTTGACTCTGTTCATGTAAGTCCTTATTCGTTCCTGATGAACAGGGATGATTCATGGAGATTAGACCATCAGAAAAAAAGAGAAAAGCATGAAAACACAGAGAAGAAACACCCACCAGCTCCTGTTTGATCCCATGTTCTCTTGGGTTTATTCCTTGAGTCACCAAGTACACTAGAACGAAAAACAAAAGTTAAGACTGCTTTTTCTACAGGGGCATGATAGTTTTTCATAACTATTTTCATTGATCCTACAATATTAATAGAAATATTTGAAAAAGAAATAAACACCCGGAACAAGTCCATGCCTAGCTCATAAACAGAACTAGAAGGTAAAAAAAAAAAACATTTTATTCAGGCTGGAAATTTAATGCTCATTAAATTAACAAACATCCGAGTAACTACCTTTCAACGCTTTCTGATATGACTATGTGAGTTACAAGCAATGGAAATTCAATTTAAATTTATATAGCGCTAAATCACGACAACGGTCATCTCAAGGCACTTCACACAGTAAATACAGGTCAGTTCATTATATTACTACTTATATTATATATAAGGAAACCAGGAAACATTTATATATGATGTAATTTTTAAAGGAAATTTCTTACTCCAGAATAATGAATTCAGAGTGTAGACAGACATCAAATCCAACTTGGCTTGGTCCAAAGGATCAAGCTGTGGAAAATTAGGAAAAAATAGCATCACACTTTCTATTTAACATCAATTAAACCAGTTAAGTATTTTTACTAATCCTTGTGGATCAGTATCCCAACACGCCGCTTGTGATTTCTAATATTATATTACCTTCTCAGTGGCCTAGTGGTAGAGTGTCCGCCCTGGGACTGGGAGATCGGGATTCAAATCCTGGTAGGGTTATACCAAAGACTTTAAAAATTGGACCTAATACCTCCCTGCTTGACACTCAGCTTTAAAGAGGTTGGACTGGGAGGTTAAACCACCCAATAGTTCCCGAGCGCAGCTACAGCTGCAGCTCACCACTCCCCACGGAGACGGGTCAAATGTGGGGATGACTTTCACCAGTGTGTGACGACTAATGGGACTTTAACTTTATTAAGTTACTGTTTAAAGTTTTTATGTCAACCAGCTTTGATCAGGTTCAACATGGGATGCTTTGCTTGAACATGAATGAACAAAACTCAATACCCAGTTTGAATCACATTTTAGGAACAGTGTCAGCTGTTCAAATGTCTCTTAATACCAGCTGGTGTTTATTTATCCTGGCTGTAATTCTTGTTTGCGTCAGTGTTTCATAAATTAGTTAAATAAACTTGTGATATTAAAAAATCCATTAGCAGGAATGAGACAAACTGATCTGTGATCAACTGTTGATAAATAAAAGTCGATAAAATAAGCAGGGATCATCCTAGGACTCATATAGACAGATGTAAATGACTCAGATCTGTATCAAGGACTGAAAAAATAAAATAAATCATGATTGAGAGACTCTCCTTATTAATTATAAGTTGAGAAAAACTTTGACATGTGGCAATGTCACTGTGTTCCATTACCAAGCGGGGCACACTGCCTTATTATTATTAATATAGTTCCGTAATCTTGTTTTAGATTGTCCATCCGACACTTTACATTCGCTGTACCTTTTCCAGCTGATCATTCCTGGACATGGACATCAGTTTCTCCAGCATGGTTTTCACCGCATTAACGGAGGAGTCGAAAGTAGTCAGCTGTTCGTCTATTTCGTACGGGTATTCCTCGAGGCTCCTGCTTTCTGCTGCCATTTTCCTGTAAAACGGTAAAAATAAGATCTCATAAATCCCCGCTGTAACTCGGACACACAAACATTCAGATCTCTGACACATTTATAGCCACTAGCTTGGGCTGGTGCTTCCCCATCAAATCTACGGGTCCTCGCGCGCAGTAAATGAGGAGGAAAAGTCATCAAAGATTAACTTACTTATCACAAAACAGTATGAGCAGACAGGCAAACGTCTTGTAAATCTTTATATCTACCTTGTTAGAACGAAACACGCTTTAAAACGACAGGAAATGGCGTTCAATAACAAAGAGCACGCACCCTATTCTGCTCTCTTCTGCCATCTGCTGTCTGGAGGAACGATGTTCTTCTTCGCCCTAAGTTTCTTCTTCTACCTTTTAAAGATGGTAGATGAACAACGCTTGATGCTTCCGCCACCCACCGAAACGGAGTAATTGACGTGATTCGAATCTCCGAATTTGCTGGTAAAACTAAACTAAAATGTGCAAATAAGACGCCACGAGACTGACACAGGTTTTGATAGCTACCATGCATGTTTGTTAACGTTAACCTTTAACTATCATCAGCTACAGAGAGGTTCAGTATCACTTTGCTGTAATTTAATCATATTTGCCATTCACGTTAGCGTTTTTATATCCTGCTAACTAAATAAATAACTACACACCAAGTCAGTTCATTTAAAGTGAGTTAGTGTCACTTTAATAAGAAAGATCTACATTTACTGAGAAAGTAAAACTAGAGCCGAGGCCATCGTTACCATGGTAACCCGGGGCGTCAGCATGCTAAATGAGCTTGTTTGGTGTGCTTTTAGGGTTTGGCTGCACACGCTCTCAAGCAGTGAAGGCTGGACATGGACAACTGTGATTTGGAAAAGCTCTCAGTCTCTGATGGTGAGCTCCATCTTCTCACCAGAAGTCACAGACTACCAGTGACTGTGGGGAGCAATGACAACAAAGTAACTCTGGGCCTGAGCACCAGCGACTGTGGAACATCATACAGTATTGTAAGTACTCTCCTGCGTGTTTGGAGAGCTTTTATTTAAATTCTTGTCAATTTTTTTCCTATTAACCCTTTCAGAATCTGTCTTTTCAGCTGTCTGGTTACCGCCCCAGCACTGTTAAACTGAAAGATGGGCTGAACAGAGTAGAAATTGAGGTTGTTGCTGAGGATGGCACGCTAAAAAAATACAGAGTGGAAATCTCTAAGCTCTCGCCAAAGCTTGCAGAGCTCACTAATCTGGCCCTTCAGACCCAAAGTTTATGCATACACCGGTGAGTAAAGACTTTTCTGGATTTATCTCTGCTGTTGTCTGATGCTTACTCAGAAATGAGCCATTTTACCTGTGTAAATCCATGCTTCTTGGTGGCTATGTGTATTCAAATTCACTTGAAAATATAATAGATTGTTTTTAACTTTGCAGTAACATTTTTCTATGGTTATGGTTCCCTTTTATTATAATATGGTAAGGCCCCTTCCCAAGGTTCCAGACAGTCTTATAAAAGTAACAGTAAATGGGCAAAGCAGCTCAGAACCAATTCCCCTGAATGTTGGATACTTCTGTGGAGATCTCAGTCTGTTCAGCAGATGGTGCTATTTCACAGGTATGATAGTTTATCCCAAATATGAATCTGATGTCACATAATCTGTCCTTGTGACCAGATAAAATGTAAAAATCACTCACCAGAATACATAAATCTTCACAAATGTCCTTTTTACGCCTCAATTAAAGATTCATTTCATTGTAAAGGGTTTTGTTTTTTTATTTATGTTTATTGTTTATGTTTATTCGACTTACAATTTATAACCTATAGGGCATGTTGTGAAGACAGAGCACACACACACACACACACACACACACACACACACAAAGACAAGTAATGTGTATATAGTTATATATCGAAAGTCGACCCACTTAGCGCCTGTCCCCTGGGAATCAGCTGGAAGGTCCCAGAACTGGAGCTGGACAGGAAGGTGTCTGAGGCTCTGGTTCAGTGTTTGTTTCATTATCGAGGTAAAACTCAGCATTTCAGCTCCTCACAAGCAGATTTATTATGTAAACTTCAAGTAGAAAATGTCATTTTCTGCCCCAAACAAAGACAAAAATGCACATTTTAAAGAAGGAATGAACTCATGAGACTGTGAAAACATCCCCAAGCAGCAGAGAATAAAGTCATTACCTTTTCTTTGATTATTTAAGCATTGAGTCAAAAGCTTGGATAACATTATTTATATTTGATGCACTCTGTCACTCAACAGGATGAAACTGTAGATAAGGATCACATTGCTTTAGTGAAAGGGATATCACTTAAACCAAACTTGTTTCAGTGAACGTAGCTCTAGATTTACTTGTCAAATTCATCTCCAGAAACCATTTGTACCATACCACCTTTATTTATATAGCACTTTAAAACGCAGCCATACGGCTGACCAAAGTGCTGAACAGTCACACAATAAAAACATAAAACAGTACTATAAAATACAGCCAACAATAAAAAAAAGACAAGCCGATAAAAAAGTACCAATAAAACCTTACAATGGAAGATAAAATAAAAGTAGTAAAAGCCAAACTAACAGCTAACTATTAAAAGCAAGGGTAAAATAGTGTGTCTTTAGTCTAGACTTAAAATCTCCCAAGGTGGATGCCAGTCGAACTGTGACTGGAAGTTCGTTCCACAGTTTAGGACCCGCAACAGAGAAAGCTCTTTGTCCACATGATTTGTAACACGCTTCCGGGACCTCGAGGAGCAACAGGCTGGAGGACCTGAGTGTGCGACCGGGAGTATAAATTGAAAGAAGGTCAGATAAGTAGGTTCAGGGTAGTGTAGACTTGAAGGAGTTTATACTATTCTCTTCTCCTCGTGTGTTTGGCTGGTAAACCTAGTATTGCTCTCGTTCGTCTTTGGTATTTGACTTGTTTGGATTGGATTTAGGATTAGATGGTTTGGTAACTCGACTTCGGAACGTTTATTGACATTGGCTTTGGATCTCCCTGAGCTTTCCCTCTTATCAGGACTGCTCTACTTATGTGTACTTTTTCAGTTAGTTAATCCCCAACCCTTTCTGGGTTGGGGTTTTCCGTTCTCCCCTTTGTATATAGTCCCTTTAGCTTTGTATATAGATATTATTATTGTTGTTGTAAATACCCTTCGGCGCACCCTTTTGTAATAAAATCTTCTGTTTTAGCGACACAGTACTTTGTTATTATTTCACCCGCACACCTTTTTTATTACTCCCTCTTCCTCATCACTCCTAGAGAGCCGGGGACGTAATAACACAATCAAGATTCATGTCTGGTGTTTAGACAAGCATATTTTTATCATTTATAACAGTTTACAGGAGACTTTTGAGGAAATAGACCTTTGCTTTTATTACACCAGAGTTGTGTCCACCTCTTGCATCATGCATGATTTATTATGATGTTTCTTTAACAAAGGATGTGCCATCGTGACGGCTCTGTCAGAAGTCGGGTCTCACTGTCTGGACTGTCCACACAAACCCACCAGGGAGCCGGATCCAAAGGTTAATATGAAAGTTTAAGCAGCTACAGAATCACTGCTACTGACCTGGACTCTTCTCATCCTTCATTAATAAGCTTTCACCATCCCTCAGCCCCTATGTGTGTGTGTGGTTCCGTGTTAGCTTTTAATGAAAGGATGCATATTGGTTTTGTATCCCAAATGTTATTTTTAGATAAACACGATGCACCAGCTAGGTCTGGTTGTCATCTGAAGTGCCGCCTTTTCTTGCAGGAAGTAACAGAGACTGGCTGGTATAAGGAGAAATTTGAAAGATCTGGATATCTGGGGATAGAAACCAAGCATGTTTGTAAGGTAATTACTTTGTGTGTGTGTGTGTGTGTGTGTGTGTGTGTGTGTGTGTGTGTGTGTGTGTGTGTGTGTGTGTGTGTGTGTGTGTGTGTGTGTGTAGCTTTAACTAAACATCTCATGAACCACTGAACAGATTTTAAAATAAACTTAGAAAGTTGTCACTGAATTTTAAACCTATAACCAATTCAAGATGGCCACCAAACAAATTAGTCAATCTTTTTTCTTTAAGCATCTTTTATACGTTCATTCTGTGTATTTCCTCTAACTGCATTACTTAGTTGTTTTTTAACACATTAAAAGAGTTGTTTTTACCTTGTTTTTTGCTGATGTTTCAACCCTGCCTCAGAGGTTCGAGCGGCGAAGCTCTGAGGAAGACTACAGTGTTAGTCGAAACGTCAGCAAAAACAAGGTAAAACAACTCTTTTACTGTGTTAAATGCAGAACAAGTAATGCATTTAAATGAATCAACCTTTTAGATATGATGCAGCTGACAGCAATACCAGATATAAACTGTTTTTTGTTCCAGAATGGGGAATTTCAGGTGTTCCAGTGCAAGGTAAAGCTAGTATCTATGTCCACACAAGGTAAAAGTGAAATAAAATAACAGAGAATGAGGAAAAAGAATATACATCCCAGATGTGTACGGTACATTGAAATGTTTTTTTAAAGCAAAATGTCTGCAAAACTGCAGTGACGATTATAAAGTTTCACAACTGCTAGGAGGAAAGCTCTATATGGTGCTGCGTCCTTGTGTGTCTAGGATGCAGCAGTCTATCACTGAAGGAGCTAACCTGTTCTGCAACAGGACTGATGTTATGTTAGATTTTAGAGTTCTTCTGGGTCCCACCACCTGCACTGGTTCCATCTGACATCCTGTAGAACAGAGCTGGCCTTCTTAATGAGCTTATCTACAGATTCAGCAATAACGAAAGAGATCACTGGATGTACAAATTATTAACTTTTGTAGTCAGTCAACTTTCAAATAGCTTCACCAGCCAGCTGTCAAGTATCCCATTTTAATGGGGAAACTCCCTTATTTTAGCCCTTTTCCCCAGTGTCTTCACATATTCTTCTTCTTCTAATTATTATATTTATCTTTACAGATACTGAGTTAAAATGTGGTTAATACTGAGCGTCATTGAGAGTTTTGCTACATTGCAGGAGATGGAGCTTAATGTTATTGTCAGGTCAAAACAATCATTTTAGTGCAAAACTCTCATGTGAAAGGTGGCAGGTGATGTGTATATCTACCAGGCCTTTCATTAATTAAGATTTACTGTTTGTGTTTATTTTTTGTTAACTTTCCAGAAGCAGAAAACAGTCAGTAGAAAAAAATACATTTTTAACACCATTGGGAAAAATTAATTATATGTTCATGATTAAACCACAACAATTGTTAGAAATTTATCAGAAAAAAAGATGTTTTTTGCAAAAAAGTTTTAGCCTTTCAACTGTAGTGCCCAGCTGTTTCAGTAAAAACACCACCGGTGAGTTGGAAGCTGCTGAAACCTAATAATAGGTATGATAAACAAAGTCAAATTAAATACAAAAACAAATAAAAAAATTAAATGGGAAAAACCATAATGTCTGCTTCAGTTTAGAAACAAAACCAACACTAAAAATGATGTTTCCATTTATCCTCAGAAATGAGAAATTCTTTGGATGAAGGGATAATTTCTTAGAAGGAAATAAAACATATTCATAAGACAAAATTTTACTCAAGATTCAATTCACACATAATAAAAAAGGTCAGACACTGATGACATTAAATTGCTGTTTTTAGCTAATCTTTAAATAAATAAATCTCATTCCTGCTTAGTAATCTCAAAGCTTTTTGTCACGAGTTGGTGTAGGAGGATGATTTAGGACCCAAGATGCAGATACCAGATGGACGAGGCAGAGGTGGAGGATAAAGTAAAAATCCTTTATTAAGGTAGTAATCCAAAGGCAGGAGCCAAAAACCAAAAATCAAAAATCTAAACGGAGTCATCAAAAACACTAGAGAACTGGAAACACTGGAAGCTAAGAACAGGAATGAGACGAGACTGACAAGAATCACCAAAACACTGCTGACAAATAACAATGGACCAACAAGACAGGGCTAACTGGGGCATGATGGGAGGCAGATGAGTTGCAGGTGTGTGGGGAGAGGACCAGGTGAAAGCAATACTTAATCAGGGAGGGAACTCACATGGCCTAAGAAAAAACCTAAAAACAAGAAAAGCAACCACATAACTAATATTCTAAAGGAAAGGAGAACTACAAAAGACTGGTGGGACAAAACATATAAAAGAGACCCATAAAATGAAAAGCTGAAACTATAAACACTGCAGAGGGATGACTGGAGAAGACTAAAGGAACACAGGACCTGAGAGATATATTTGGAAGGCTGAAGACCAGGGGACAAATGAGGAACACAAAGAGACACATAAATGAGATGCAGACAAAGGACACATGAGGGCGCTATGAAACACAAAAGGAGAACCTGGAGTGGGAACTGGAGGGGCTGGGGAACAAAGGGACACAGAACATGACACTTTTATTGTGGCAGGATTTCATTTAATGTCCTGTTTTGAAGTCACGCTAATGGAATTGTTGACCAATAGTTTGGTCCGTTTACTGCAGATACACAGCTGGGAGATAAGGCTCCAATCAGTAGAAGAAGAAGAAGAGAATGTGGAGAAGCTGTGTGCCTCGGCTGAAGAGCATCTCAAACTCTACAGGAAACACCTGATGAAAGCAGGTACGTTTACACAAGCATCATCAAAATGATCATCCAGATTAACATTCTCCTTCTGTATCCCACAGATAGATTAAACCATCTGTTAGCTCTATATGTTTGCTCTTGGTCAGAGGACATTATTGAGCTCCAACTTATCACGACATCCCAGCAGCAGCTTTTAAAAACGGCATGCTATTGGGACGGATTTGTGGCGGGCGGCCTCTGGAGCCTCCTCCTCTGCTCTAATGAGCCGGCACTCAAATTTCTGCTGGTGTTTTTTCAGCTATCCGTGCCTTGCTAATTGTTTGATGACTCACTGACGTGACATTTGAGACATATCCCGGAAGACCTAAAGACGACTCACAGGAGCCGAACTGTGAAGCAACACTAGAGAGAGAGAGAGAGAGAGAGAAGGTGTTTAGTGTTGCAACAGCTGGATCAGGCTGAACCCAGAAACCTGGAGCTCAGTTTAACTCTTTTGCTCCAGTTTAAAGTACAATAACCTTTTTTTTTTTTTTTACATTGTATTTTTAAGCTATTTTTAAGTACTGCAACTTCAAACATTGAATTCAAGTATAATGATTAAAGCAGAGTGAAGGGAAACATTTTTGCTGGGTGGGCATTTATTCAGACACACATGTAAATCCTCCCATTCTGTTGTCAAATGTGTGTTGGTTTTGCTCTGCAGGAGTCGGATTGCAGCAGGAGGATGTGGAGTCTCCTCTGCATCGCCTGGAACAGGCTGCTGGCTGTTATGCGTCAGCTATCAGACTCAGCTTCACAAATGCCAGACTTCACTTTCTGCTCGCTCTGGTTTTAGAGGAGCTACACCATGCTACGGAGATTCATGGCCTCCAGGAAAAGGTTGTCCCTCTCCATGATCAGCTGTTTTTTAGAACAAATGTCAGTGAAATAGAAAGTCCGTTTTTATCACACTGGGTGTATTTTTATAACACGCAATGCTTGGTTTTAGCGTACATTTGCAAGAACTTTCTCATCTTGCAAAACTCAATCTGCTGTTGAATGCATATTTATATTTCTCATCAAGTGGATTCGCAGATTAAATAATGAGATTTTTACTCATTTTAAAATGATTTTACTGATTCTTGTCAGGGCTGCGCAGTGATGCAGTGGTTAGAGCTGTTGCCTTGCAGCAAGAAGGTCCTGGGTTCGCGTCCCAGCCTGGGATCTTTCTGCATGGAGTTTGCATGTTCTCCCTGTGCATGCATGGATAAGGAGTATCAGCAGCTCAAAGAGCAAGGACAGTCCAGTAATGCTGATTATGTTCAGACGCTCTACGTCTGGCTCTCAAAGAAAACCGGCAAGGTGACTTTGTTGTATTTTCACCTCCCTGGTATCACATGATGTCAGTATCCATTCTCTTTTTACTTGTTACTCTGATGGTCATTTAGTTTCCTTCCTCAATAGTTTTTTTTTCCATATTAAAATCCTCAAAACATCAACAAATGACTTTGGACCTGTTGTTTCAGGGTAGCAACGCGGTGATGCGGGATGAGGAGAGCTACATGTACCGGGCCTTCACAAAGTACCTGGATGCCTGGTCTCTGAATCCAGACAGCTGGGAGTTCAACCTCCATGTTTGGAGGCTTCTGTTGCTTCAGGGAAGGAGAGAGAGGCTCTGCAGCTCCTTCAGAGTGGACTGGCTCTATGCCCTCTGCACCCTGCTCTCAGGTCAGCTCATAAAAGATACGAGGCCGACAGAAAGTATAGGATAGGGCCCACAACCAGAGGATTTCTGAGGGAATTTTGCTGACAATAAGCCAGTTAGTGTAGAAATGGTATAAAATTAGAGTTTCCACAAACGACTATTTTAATTGTGGACTAATCACCAGCAGGTTCTCAGCTCAGGTCAGGACAGAACCGGAAATTCTCCACAGGTCACCGTCCTTGGTTGTTGTAGAGCAGCTGAGTACACCTCGTGGAGTTTAGTTGTTATGAAGAACCAGAAAATGATGGAATGTGGCATCAGACTCTCCTGCAGCATGTCAAAAAGTGGATTTATTTTTTACTATACCACAGATTATTACAACATTTTTAATACATTCATAATGTGAACACCTTTCTAATCCATGTTTCTCCTGAAAACCTTTTGTGTTTGATTAGTAATATGATGAAATAATGATTAAATATGAAATATTTATGTTTTTACGTTTTATTTAAACACATTAGAGACTAATGTTTAGTGAGTGTTTTTATATAATTTTTTTCTGCCTGCTTGTATTTTGCTGTGGGTTTTAAAAAAACAGGAATGTGACTCGAAATTACCATGTTTTTTATAGATTTTATTATTTTTTTCAAATAAGCTGCCATTTTTTAATTTATCTACCCATAAACCACCATTTTGTGAGGAAGCAAATGGATAAGAAACATCTTAAAAGTATATATTTATTAAAAAGCCTCGTTATTCATATGCAGCTTCTCATAACAGGTCAGGCAAATCTCAGCTGGCATGCTGTTTTTGGCACACCTGTTAAATTTTGCCCCACAAAAATAAAATTTCACCAGCCGCCACTGTTTATCACACAACTTAGTCTGTCACTCCCTGACAGAAGACCTAATCAGAGAGAGGGACAGATGTGCAGATTAAAAAGCTACCCTGAGACGAACAGCTGTTTTGTGAAATGTATGAGTCTGGTAGAAAAAATTGTGGGGGGTGCTGTAAGTCACTGCCTCTGTGCCACTCTCTCAGGGTGTTTGTCAATGTCAAGGCGCCTGGCCTCACAAGGCGATGTCTTGCGAGGCCAGGCGCCTTGCTCACGAGGGCGCTGTCCTTCCTAGGTCAAAGAAAATGGTTAAATGGAACAGACTTGTATCACGTGACGTGACGGCCGTCCCATAACGTCACGTGACACGGGAGATAACGTTATACTTTATAAATATATAACAAGCCTTTTACTTTTTAAATTGTGTTTATATTGGTTAAATTAAATATATAAGCGAGTTATTACCCGCTAGCCACCGAAGCTGCAACTACTAAGCAACTAACCAACCATAAATAACTGCTTTGAATCTTAAAAAAACATTTTAGATATCAGCCCGACTGCTACAATAATTTAACTTACATTTAAACTGGAAATTTGTCCCCGAAGTAGCTGCTGGCTTCTGATCCCCCATCCTTTTGAAAATACTGTGCTGTATTCTGGGTCTTTTTTGACCAAGGCTAGGCTACAAGACACCTCCCGTGTATCCTTGCTCAGTTAGCTAAACGGCTAACAAACGAAGAACACATGCCTCGGTAAAACATGAACATTGGAACACGTCTTGGCGGTTCCTGATGATGTATCTCTTAGGCAACCGGGGCAGGGCCAAGACATCAAGGTGAGCTCCCTTGGCATTGAGAAGCACCCTCGGTCTGCCAGGGGGCACCGCCTTTGGGCATATTTTCTTATCAGGAAATGTACGTGAAGTAAGTCTCCACCCATGGGGGATGTAGTTCTCAGCAGCGGTTGAGCACTATCACCTCCAATTGTTCAGTTTTAACTCAACACCTCCCACTTGAGCTCATGGTTTCTCAAACCCAATGAAGTCACACAAGTACTTGGCTCTTTCTGTTCATCAATGGGAACTAAAATGGCAAGGCGCCTGACATCTCTATGAAGGATTGTGGCTGGAATTTTGTTGTTATGTTTATGTTTATTGGATTCTGATAGAAACAAGATAACTGGGAAAGGTCCTTACAAGCACATCTCTGACAATGCCTTTGTTGTCAGTGTTGACACTGTCTACTCGGGCTAGCCTGTACTGTCCTCTTAGGGCGTTTTGGTCAGCTACCCAGACCACATCTCCCACAGCAACATTCTGCTCTTTAGTGTACCATTTATTCAGTACAAACAGGTTTGGTCAAGCCAACTGGCTCCACTTTTTCCAGAATTTGCTGACCTCTGTTTGAATACTTTTAAGCCTTTTAAATGGATAGCCATCAAACTGGAAGTCTCCAGGGTCTCCCTTTGGGCTTGCGCACCCTAGAAGCAGCAAATTTGGGGTGATGTACTCCACACAGTCATCCCTGCTTTGGGTTTTGGCATCAATAGTTCCTTCGTTAACAAGGGTGGCAGCTATGTAGAGAAACGTCTGAAATTCCCCCAGGTGAAGACACCATCTCCACCCAGATTGCTTAGGGCCTGCTTCACGATTCTGACAGCTGCCTCTGCTGCACCATTTCTATGGGGAGAATCTGCAGGGTGGATCTTCCAAACCCATTCTGTTCCATGCTTGGCAGATAGGTTGTCAACTTCAGACTTGTTTAGTTGGTCAAGGAATTTGTACAGCGTTTCCAGAGCAGGTTTGGCTCCTACAAAGTTGGTGTCAGGGTCTGACCAGAGTTTCCTGGGGTACCCTCTCAGTGAAGTGAACCTTTGGTAGGCCAACAGGAAACCCTCGGATGACTGATCACTTATCACATATGCGTGTATGGCACGGGAAGCCATGCAGCAGAAGACGATTCCCCATACCTTAAGTTTGGTTCTTGACTTCATCCTTTACTTCGTATGGGCCGAACAGGTCTAAGGTGGTGAATTCAAAAGGAGCAGCTGGGTTTGTTCACTCTGGAGGCAAATTTGCCATTATTTGCTGACACAGCCTTGCTCTGTTCTTCCTGCAGGTCACACAACTGTCAACCGTTTTCTTTGCTAATCTCCTGCCTTTACCCATGCTGTCTTCCTAATCCGGAGAAGAGTTCCTGCTACTCCTTCATGGTTAGCTTCATGGGACTCTTGGGCTAGCAGAGTAGACATCCATGCTTCAAATGGCAGGACTGGTATGGCACTCTTCTCTTCATTGAACATCTGGAACCTACCTCCACAAAGTAAGAGTCCAGTGTTCACATCTTTGTATACTGCCAATCTACTGAGAGTTGTGTCTGGAAAAGTTACATCGACCTGAGCTGCAAGAAAGAGGTCATCACATGCTCTTTCAAGGTCTTTGCTGGTTAACCCAGCCTGCGCAGATGTTGTTGCCTCCCATTTTTGCAGTTTTGGGTTTGAATTTGTTGCCACATGCTTTTTCGCATTCATCAACAACTGTTAAGTTCCACTCTTGTTTATACTCCAAAGGGACACTTTGGGACAACTCCTTCACTTTCCAACAATCTTTATTATTCCAGTTTAGTGATTATCAGGTTAATAACCATTGGCGTCTTTAGAGTCAACTCATGAGTAGAGCTTGCTTGCTTGTTGTACCTTGTTTGACTGAGAACAGAACTCCCACCATCTTTGCCCAGGTGTTTTTCATCACCAATCAGTGGCCATTTTGCTGGTGCTTTCTGGGGGATGTAGTTCTCAGCGGCGGTTGAGCGTTACCACCTCCAATTGTTCAGTTTTAACTCAACAGTAAGTATTGCACTTTGAGGTGTGCATGCTTCCAGCAGATGATTCATGGAAACACAGAGACTGAAAACTCAAGCTGAAAAAAAAAAAACATTAAATGAAGAGTGAAAAAGGACAAAAATGAACATTACAGACTGCAGTTGGTCACATGGTGGGCTTTTGTATTCACTATTATTATAGTCTAATTGATGTGGTAAACTGCTTATTTGGAGAATGGGAATTCATTTTTGTGTTTTGGAATTATAGTCATTAATACATACAATGAAGGGGAATACATCACAAATGGTCCCAACAAGATTTTTTTGACCAGTTGCCAGTGGGACTCACATATGATTTTGAAAGGGCTTTTGGAGCAGAAATGAGAAGTTGAATCTATTTTAGAAGAGATTGTTCTGAGCTGTAAACTCTTAGGGGACTGGAGAAAAAACACAAGTTCTACAGCAGGAAGAAACTGTGGGAATGAAAATGATGTAATCTAATGGTAAATGGCTTGTATTTTTTAGTGTTTTCTACAGTCCTTTAACCCCCCAAGGTACATTACAACACAACCAGTCCTTCACTCGTGCACACACACATTCACACTGACAGAGGCAAGGCTGCCGTACACTGATGCCTCCAGTCTCTCCGATCACCACCAGCAGCAGTTGTGCCCAAAGACACGACTATGACAGACTGTGTGGGACTCGATCCGACAACCCTTACAAAACATCAAGAATCAGTGGCAGAAACACAATCTAGAACTTCCCAGCTATATCTGCCTTTTGCCGGTTCTCTTTTCAGATTCTTCACAGGGCTGGCTCTGCTGCAGCAGGAGCAGGATGCATCTGAGGCCACGGAGAAAGAGGCTGCACAATTCTTACATCAGGGGCTGGAGCACTTTGTCAGCCAGCGCTGCAGTAAGAGGTGTGTGTTTGTGTAAGTGTGTAAGTGGAGGTGGATGCATTCAGTGAGAGAGGGAAAGTGAGGTCGTGACAACCTGTCATGTATCAGGATGTTCCATTTAAGCCTGCAGGGTAGAGGATGGGATGCTTCATATTATAGCTGTTGTCTTTGAGTGATTCACTTCCAAGTTTTAGATCTTCTTTGTAAGATTGTGGGGTGATTCTGCTGCAAGCGTGCGCGTGTGTGTGGTGTGTGTGTGTGTTGTTTCTTTTCTTATTTTCTTTCTGCAGCTGGGTGGAGCAGGAGTCATCAGATCCTCTGTCCATCTACAATGCTCAGTTCCTGCGTGGCCTTCTCACCCTCGGCCAGTTGCAACTGAAAAACCTTCTGCCTGAGAAGGCCATGAGGGCTGGACAGGTGTCCCACATGTACGTGATGATCTGAGTCAGTTAGAAACACACAAATGCACTCTAAATATCTGAAAGCTGCATGAAAAGTGTTTTTTTCTTATCTGTCCTGGAAAACTAAAGTGTAGCCGCTCTGGCCGCCCGGAGTGTGAGTCAACGTGTGAGACGAAGCGAGGCGAGCAGGCAGCTGGAGTGGGTGCTGCTGGATGCTCATTTGGCCCTGCTGCAGAGACTGATCCAGCAGGGTGAGAACGGGGCTAAAGCTGGCAGCAACATGCAGTCCCTGGTGGCCAAGAGGTGCCAGGCCCTGTTAGCTCTCATCCGCCTCACCACCTTCGCCTCACCACCTTCGCCTCTCGTCAGGAGCTGCTGGACATGCAGGAGCGAGTAGGAAGATCCTGATTTTATTTGATCGTCTGTTTCACAAAAGTTTACAACAGATGAGTTAGTTATGTACCAACTCTTTTGCACAGACATGTCAACTAGTGGTAATCACCACTCCTCGAGACAGCCATTTCCTGTGCCTCCTGGGTCTGGCCCAGCTGGCTCAATATGACAACAACCCAAATTCAGACAGGTCCGGTGAAGACCTGAGTGATGCTCGCCTCCGCTTCCAGAGCAGCATAGAGCTGGAAGGACAGCACCAGAGAGGAGAACCACCTCAACAGCTGAACAGTGAGTCTACGCTGTCCTCCTTTAGCAATATTTAGATTCTTTATGCAGTTGTTTTGGGTCTGTGGGAGAAAACTCCCACATGCATGGGGAGAACATGCTAACTCCATGCAGGATGCAACAATGCTACCATCTGCACCACCACGTGTCTTATCTTTTGTTTTTAGAACAAAAGTGGTGGCGGGAACATCTGGAAGCTCAGAACAAGGAAGCAGCTCTGCAGACCACCACGCAGGGCAGGGGAGGTCCAACTCAGGGGTGGGCTGGTGGGACTAGAGCTCCAACTACTGCCCCAGCAGGCCCCCCTACCACCAGGGGAGGGAAGGCTGCTCGGCTTCCCGCCAAAGCTCCTGCTGGCAGGTTAGTCATTTGGCCATTTTTATCTTATTACTTAACACAGACTTTTCCTGCAGTTTTTTATTAGGTTATATTTTTCCTCCTGTAGGGGGAGAGCTGGAGCAGCGGCTAAACCAGATAAATCGGCTAAACCTGCCGGCAACAGCCCTAAAGCCAAGCTTCTGTCTGACAAGTCTGAGCAGGACTGTTGTCCCAAACCTGTTCATGGTAAACAGAGACCGTTAAACCTCTGCTATGAAAAAACAGAGACACGATTTCTGGGGTTTGGTTACAGGATGAACATTCAGAAATCTGATTAAATGAAATACTTTTAGTTTAGTCTTTGTGAAGTCTACCTCATCAGAATGGAACATAACTGTGTGTCTTATTCCACTGAGCAGAGGAAAGGGTGAGCGTGCCTGGCCCGTTGAACCGCAGGTCTCATGTGGCACGGCTGGGTCTGGCTCGGGTCCTCTCACGCTCTGTTGACACCCAGAATGAGGCAGAGCAGCTCTACCAGGAGGTCATCGCCATGGCGCCAGAGGTCAGTTGGCATCCATCACATTGACCTTTGCTTAAGTTTAAGATCGCATCTTCACCAACTGTGACACTCTAGACCAAGGTTAGGGAATCCTGGTCCTTGAGTGGCACTGCTGTTTTAGTTGTTTCACTGCTCCAACACACGTAATTCCATGGTTAAATCACCTGTTTGCCAGGTTCGGTATCAGGACAATCACACGATTTTCTTCTTCAGAACCATAATGCCTACATTCAGCTTGTTCGGCTACATGCTGGAGCCCTCTGACCCCCAGGCTGCTGTGGACGTCTTCTGCAGGTTCCCCCTGAAGCCCGTGGCCGAGCAAAGCTTCAACGACGCCTTCATCAGCGGTGAGATCGTTCGCCTGCTGATGTCACAGAAGCAGCACGACCACTCACAGCCGGGCCCCAGCCTGGTAGCACACGGTAAAGTCATGGGACTAAGTGAGTGTTACTGTTTGTCATTCACAGAAATACTGCAGCTATAGTACATACGTGCAGCACGTGTGATCTTTCTGAGGAAAATAACAGCGGGGTAAATGCTCTTTGAACGTTGTTTGCAGGTTGCATAGAGAAATACGTCAATATTCTGGATGGAGAATCGAAAACTGCACTGCTGAAGAATGTTTACGCAAGAATCAACAACAAGCAGCATGACGACCCAGATCTGCAGGACTTCTTTAAATTCAAATGCTGGATATGACCACATCCGTGACTCATCGACAATGAATTTATATCAGAAAGGTGATTTTATAACTCCTGTTTATAAAGACAGATATATTTATTAGGCATGCATTGATATGATAATGCGGGCCCGATATCAATATCAGATATTATCTCTGTTATACCTGATATTACAATATAAGGAATGTAAGAAAATATCAGTTCACTGAAATACGATATTTTGTGTAATTATACTGAATCAGCATTTAAAAGCAGTGTGTATATTTCTTTATTGAGCATTTACATACAAACGTTTACTATATTTCTTTTGTGTGGAGCAATTCAAACCCCGACTGCTAGGTGGCAGCAGTTCTTACTGCCTTCAAACATCTTGAGATAACGCTTCTGTTCTGGGTTTTCCAATTAAGTTCAGTCAAAAAATCACAAATATCGCCTGGCTTTTAGATTTTATATAGTCTCCCCTGTACTGTGACATATTTATCATGTTGCCAGATTCTTGTCAATAAGAACCCCAAATACAAAAATTATATATAAATATATTATCATATAAACTGCACACATTTACGCCTGAGATGATTACTATCATATGACCAAACATTGTCACCCCTTCCCCTTCTGAAACTAATACTAAAATGGCTTCTAGATGGAAAAAAACATTTGGTTATATTGACCCGGCTTTACTTATTGGACCGATACATAAAAAAATGACTAACATCAGCCGATATGCTATTGATGCCGATATATCGTGCATCTCTAGTATTTATCTATAAACACTGATTGGAAAGAAAAGAAAAGACCAAACTTGAAAACTTTAATAATATACAACATTTACATCAATGCTCACCATAGAAAAGAAAAAAGATGGCAGCGGTACAGCTGTGCTACAGATGTGCTCCAGTGCACAGCTTCTGACAGAACACAACCAGGATGTTACTTTTACATTAACGGTAAACGTGGAGCATTTGGTTCCTTTGCCAGGAAGAGAAGATCAGTTAGATACGTTTTCACACCAAGTTGAGTTTGGTGACAATAAGGACGCGGACAGACTGGTCAAATCCTGAACACACACACAGGCCCTGCTTGTCGGGGCTCCAGTCCAGGCTGGAGATGGGCTGAGAGGACAAAGTGGCGTTCTGTAGGAGACTGACTGAACCGGCGACGCCCACATCCATGCCATCAGAGTCCTGCTTGCTTCTCTTAGCTGGATACTCACTGAAAGATGATTTATATACAAATCGGTGACGTGGCAGCCATAAAGCAGCCTTCTTGGTGTGAAATGTGATAACTTACTACTTCCACAGATGAAGGTTTCCTGCTCCCCCTGCAGTCATAAAGATGTCCCTGTTCTGAGGCAAATGTCTCACCTGCCAGATGGTTGATTTATGAGCCTAAAATAAGAAGCAGAGAGACTATTTACCTTCTGAAGCTTCAGGATTCATATTTGGAGACACTAATTGAACAAATATTTAGAAAGGTGGGGTCCCTGATCTCCTAGGCCTCACTAACACTTGTTGGACTGGTTTTGTGCACCGATGGGACGATTAGGTGTATTTTTCCAACATTATCCCACAGAAACCCTGGGCCCTTTGTCAGTTTTGGCCGGCGACAGGAAGCCACTGAGAAGGTTGGACAAACACGACCTAAAACGCTTCCAGCTGTGAAAACGGTGGGATCAAGGTGCACCTCTGTTTCCCGCAAACGTAAGAATAATACCGGTAATCACAGTGAGCTTTTGTGATTTTTCCCATAATTAGAATCGAAATCTTTGCCCAAGTTACTGACCTTTTCTGACACCGAGGCAAAACCTTTGACAGGGTGCTGCGTCCTCATGTCAAACACGTGGAACTTTCCCTCCAGCGACGTGGCCACCAGCTTGTTCATGTCGATGTCTTTCCTGTCAAACTCCACACAGCAAACCTGGAAAACAATACATCCTGGTTTATAAAAGCATCTGCCACATGAATAAACATAAACAATAACGACTCTCCAATCAAAGGGATGTGCTGAGATGGAGACAAGCACTAGTGGGTTCAGTTATATTCAAAAGGAAGTGAATCAGAGCAGTTGTACCCAAAATTAGCATAAATTCTTTACAGAACACCAGGCCCGACATCTCTCCTCTGATTGGCTAACAACAACACATCTCTACTCTGACTCTGTTTGCTCTGCAACATTAATGTTTTATCTCCATAAATAACACAAGTCTGGAGGCTTTCTGCCATGTGGTGGGGTTGCTAATGCTAACAGTTAGCTTCTAACCTATGGTTTTTCAGTGAACCACACCTTTAAAACACAGATCTGCTCACATGAATCCATCTGATCTTAAATATGTTTACCCCTTTAGAAACAAATGTTTCATTGTAAAACAGAAACATTCTTTTTTTAAACCAAATAAATAAAAAATAAAGAGTTTGTAAAAACAGCTTAATGTAGAAAAACATATAGACTAGAAGAACAATTACACGCACCATGTGAAAGCTTTAACCCGTATCATTTTGATACGTTTTTCTATAAGCAGCACTTTCTGTTTATCTTTAATCATTTGAGGTCCTGGTCAACCTTTAACTCTACTAGACTTTGGGACTTGGGCATGAAGCAAACCAACAGTTACAAATTATTGCTGTAATTTCCCCAAATGAAATAAATAAATAATAATAATAATGTGTTTTCATTGTTCTGGTCAAAGGTTCTCCAGAGCTTCTGATGGTCTTTGTGTGGAGAATCCTGGTCCTCTAGATCCACTATCCAGCATGTTTTAGTTGTTTCCTTGCTCCAACACACCTGGTTTTAATCAGAGTAAGAACAAAAACAAGCTTGATAGCAGATTCACCTCCCCTGTTTTCAAGTTTTCTCTGAACTTAGAACCTGGGGGAGGTGGAGGACAGAATCTAAGTCAGATCTAAGCTCTAAACTAGATCAACAGAATATGAAGCAAACACTCTGAAGACCTGAGAGATTCATCATTCTTCAGTTAACCATCTACGGAATTACCTCTAATAGCTCCTCTGAGTGTAACATGGTGTTACAGTAATATTTGTCTTTAAGAACTAAAGTGCGACACAGTCTAGAGAACTATCATTTAGTTCATTTATCTACCGCCACATTACTCGTAAATGTTTTGTGCGTGTGTAGTGTTCAGCACTTTGGATATCCTTTGGTTTGTTAAAGGTGCTACACAAATAAAACTGGTGATGATTTAAAAAGAAGACCATCTGTTCCTTGTAGGACCGGTGAGAGCAGACTAAAGCACCTGCTTGGTGATCAACCACTGGGGCTTTGGCCTGTTCACTGAGCCTTTTCAATGGCTGTTTCAATAAAAACACTCCTAAACTCCAAACGTCATCTTCAGTCTCCTCTTTTTGTCGTGACTCAATGAGCCGGGTCATAACAGAACCAGGCCTCTATTATACAGAAGATTAGCATGGAGAGTAAACTGGTTTACTTTTGGTTGTTTATGTTTTAGTAACACTAACCCATCTGTTTTATTCAGTTAATGAGATAATTATGCAGATTTTATCATTGTTTTCTAAAATATTTGTGAGTCTGTAAAAACAGAATTTTTTCATTCCAAGCTTCTAGTTAAAACAAACAGGAAAATATCATCTCACCCCGTTTTTAATGTTGGTTTCCCACCGCAGAGACATGTTCCTCAGGTCAAACAGTTTGATGTCCCCGTTGTCATAGCCAGCACACACACATCGGTCTTCATCATTGAAAGCATGACCTGAAAGGAAAATGAAGCAATAGAAAACCTAGAAAATGTACCTGGGATTAGACCAGAGAGTGCAAATTTAGTTTATGGGTTTATTTTCACATAAGAAACACCAGGTTTTGGTGCTTCTACATCTGCGTCTGTTTTTCCATTTTATAACCGGGATCAGCTTTAGGGCCTAAAACTAGGGTTGGACAATATATCGGCATCAATATCGGTATCGGCCAATGTTAGTCATTTTTTTAACATGTCGTTATCGGTTCGATAAATAAAACCGGGCCGATATTAACAACCGAAATTTTTTCCATCTCGTCTCCAGTTGTTTGTCTGTTTCAGAGGGTGGGGGAGTGATGTGTAATTGTTTAGTCATGTGAACAGTGAATGTCATCATCTCAGAACCGTAAATGTGTGTGTGGTGTGTGTACATAATAACGTAAATTCAGCTTTAATAACTTTTATTCTATAAAAAAATCTGCTGATTTTAGAAGCATTAATGTCAGTATATCGGTATCGGCAAATATCGGTTATCGACCATAACAGTGACCTTAATATCGGTATCGGCAAATATCGGTTATCGACCATAACAGTGACCTTAATATCGGTATCGGCAAATATCGGTTATCGACCATAACAGTGACCTTAATATCGGTATCGGCAAATATCGGTTATCGACCATAACAGTGACCTTAATATCGGTATCGGCAAATATCGGTTATCGACCATAACAGTGACCTTAATATCGGTATCGGCCCAAATATTTCATATCGGTGCATCACTACCTAAAACACATAACTCATATAGAAAAGAGACAGGAAGAAAAAAAAGACTTCTGCAAACTTACTTGATTTTATTCCTTATAATTAAACACCAGCCCTTGTGTAAGTGAAGGATGTGAACAGCAGGTGACCGTTGTCAGTAAATGTAAATTTCATGGAAAAAATAACCCAAAAATATTAAATCAGCACTCTTGCTCAACTGTTTACTTTTTTGGAATATACAATTCCAGATGTGACACAAAACTATTTCATTTAGAAAATGAAATGAAAACAATACGGCAGAAATTGTAGAAAGAAACGAGGCTAATGTGTTTGCTGATGTGTGAGGAAGCTGGCATCACAATGATGAACAATCTTATTTATCTTTGGTAAAGAATTCAGCGAATTTAAAATGTGAAAGATGTCAATTAATTATAGAAAAAATAAATAATATTTAAATTTTATTAAATATTATAACTGTTCCGTTTTTTATTTGAACAGATTAGATAGAACAAGTATATAATTACTAGTTATATCATTAATTATTAATGATATAATTAATAGATTAGAACAAGTTCCTTTTTTTTAACAAACCAAATGGTTTTAGTTTCTTACTGAAATATTTTTGAGTCGTATTAATTAGCTGAATGAACTGAGTGAAGGGTCCATGTTTTTGTCGCCAGATATTGTCTGTAATCCCCCTCTGAGGATAAGTTTTACCAAATGCAACTGTCCAGCAGTCCCTCTTGGTTTCCCCTTCCACAGGCTCCATGTTGGCCACAGGTAAATCCTTTTGTCTAGGGTCCCACACTTTTACTGTCCCTGTAGGAAAACAGTAGTATTTTTGTTATTTTACTAATGTGTGAATAGGAACGACATCAAAAGTATACTTTTACCATCTCTGCTTCCAGTAACTATCTCAGGAGCACCATCACCAATCCCCAGGCCACCAACACCATCTATACTATTTACTATCTCCTTGTGGGCCTTAGCCGTGTACACTGGCACTTCAGGAGACTCAAGATTCCTGCAGATGACACCAATAAATAACAAATAGTGATACTTGTCACGTCCTTGTTATTCATACAAATGAACACAAAACACAGGAAAGAAAGGGGAACCGGTTCTTTCCTTGAATATTCTACAGATTTTGTGGCAACTTACCAGATATTAAGATTTCCATCAAAGTCCCCAGTTGCTAAGTGTCTTTGCTGCAGAGAAGTGGCACCAAACGTCCCACACTTTAGAGGTTTGGGTTTCTCCACCTGGGATGAGTCGAATGTATGATTCTGTTTATTATACTGTTAAAAAATCTATCTATCTATCTATCTATCTATCTATCTATCTATCTATCTATCTATCTATCATCTATCTATCTATCTATCTATCTATCTATCTATCTATCTTCTAATATTTGCCATCAGAGAACAAGTTCAGATTTCAGATTGCACGTTTATCTGATTGTATTTATTTGTGTGTTTTTACTATTTTGTCATTTAACTGGGTTTTTTGTTCAACAAGAAAAGGGCATTTCCTATCGACACACTGCCAGTTGCCATGGATACTTCCGTTCAAGACTTTTCTAGAACCTATGAAACCCAGTTAATTCCGGGATAACCAGAGAAAATGACACGTCCTAAACAAATCTTAACAATAACATAATGTGAGTAACAATAACAGTAATGGCCTCACTTCTTTAATAAGCTGAGCCTCTCCGTGCTGCAGCTCATATATCTGAATCACTCCGGTCCCTCTAGGAAAGTTCCCCAGGCAGACAAACTTTGCGCTGCACGGAATCCATTTACTGTCAAACACCGTGTAGTTTAAACTCTTCTGAATGTGCGCGATCACTTGAGGCTTTGAAAGCGGCGATGACATTTCAAATGGAGGGGATTGGTTCCCAGCAAAACTGCAGACAAGTCTACTAAAAAGGAAATAAACTGGACTCAAAACAAACGTCATTGAGACTAAGAAGACCGCAGCTGCCTAAAGGAATGCCTGACTAAATACCACCGTTTGAATAAATATACCAAATATAAACAATAAAATAACTCATAATATGTTGAATAAATGTAATATGTTATAAATGTCTCCATATTACTAGTTTTTTTAAACAATCCTGGCGTGTATTTGTACGTTTTTATGTGTAGGCGTTGATGATGTCGCAGTTTGGGTCCTTGCCATCGCACGAGGCCACCAGATGCGACTGTGGCCTGAATCTGCTTCAGTTTCTTGTTTTTTAATCTGAATTTTAAACTTTTGTTGAGATGGACAGCGATAAAAACCAAACCCCAGAGGTGGAGGTGGGTGCGGAGAGTAAAAACGACTCTGAGTCGTTCACAAAGGTGAAGTCTAAAAAGGCCCATAAGCGAAAACGTGAACAGGACGGGGTGGACATGGACACGGAGGACAGCGTGGCGAACAAACGACCACAGTTTCCACCAATATCTGCAGACAAATTACGGGTATTTACGACATTGTGGTGTTTTTTTATATACTACATACGTTTTATGTTCAAAATCAGCACTTTCTGTAAATTATGTATATTTATATTATTTACTGTTCTTACATTGGCTTATTAACTAGTAACATTTTTGCGCCTGCGCACTATGGTCGACAACAATGGTACAAGCTCGCATTTAATGTCAAAAATGACATTAAAACATACTTATATTAAAATATCAATTTAGTCCGTGCTCAGTTGCTAATGTTTTCCTTGGCATTTGTTATCCTCTAACTTGGTTGGAATAATGTGCTCAATGATGGAAAGCAACTGAAAAGTTTAATTTAAAATGATCACTAAATATTATAAAATATATTTTTAAGTGAAGTTTATTTGGCGTTATTCTTTGAAAATTTTTGTGGAGATTAACGCTGAATGTTGTGTTGCAGGGACCAGATGAGATGCGCAAAATTCCCGTTCCAGGTCACAGATACACCCCTCTCAAGGAAAACTGGCTAAAGATTTTCACCCCCATCGTAGAGAATTTACAACTCCAAGTCAGATTCAATCTTAAAACCAGGAGTGTTGAAATTAAAGTGAGTTTCCTCTACTACGTATTCCACCAGGAGAACAGCTTTGTGCTGGAGCTCACCCTTCTGTCTGGATTTGTATTTTCTCTTTTTTTTCAGACATGTAAAGAAACGCAGGACATCAGCGCACTCACAAAAGCTGCAGACTTTGTCCGAGCGTTTATTCTTGGATTCCAGGTTGAAGTGAGTAAACTTATTGGAAAGTTTCCGTGAGCTCAGTGTTTTTCTGAGGCACAACGTCAGATGATTGTCGTGGATCGTTAGTATCAGGCTGTGAACCGGTGGAAAGTGGGATTTGAGTGAAGATGTTATGAATTTGCTTGAGTTTTATTTGTTAGAAGAAATTTAAATCATTGCCACATGTGGTTTTTTTTTTTTTTTTGTGTTTTGCTGAGTTTCTACCTCTTCCCAGGATGCAATGGCTCTCATCAGATTAGATGAGCTTTTCCTTGAAACCTTTGATGTCACAGATGGTAAGATTGCAATGCCAGAGTATTTTTGTCAGTACTGAAACTGCACATAGCATTTCACTTTTTGTTTATCAGCATTACCCTCTCGTGTCTGCAGTAAAACCTCTGAAGGGAGACCACTTATCCAGGGCCATTGGAAGAATAGCAGGGAAAGGAGGAAAAACGAAATTCACCATTGAAAATGTGACAAAAACCCGGATTGTGCTTGCAGACACGTAAGCTCTTATGTTTATCATTGAAATGCATGATTTTCAGTTTAAAATGTAATATTTTGACAGCTGGTGTTGCATTTGTTCAAATAAGACATGTAAAATGTGGGGGTAAAAGTTTTTATACTTAAGATTTGTTTACAGAAATGTTCCAACCTTTGGAACAGTTTATCTAAATACTACATTGCTCAAAAAATAAAGGGAACTCAAATAAGACATGCCAGATCAGAATGAATGAAATATTCTTATTAAACAATTTGTTTACATAGCTGAATGCGCTGGCAACAAAATCACACAAAAATTATTAATAGAAATCAAATTTATCAACCATGGAGGTCTGGATTTGCAGTCACACTCGAAATTAAAGTGGACAAACTACAGGCTGATCCAACATGGATGTAATGTCCTTTAAACAAGTCAGAATTAAGCTCAGTAGTGGGTGTGACCTACCTACAACACCTGGGCACGCTCCTGATGAGCTTCTCACAGACCTGGACTGCAGCATCCACCAACTCCTGGACATGATGGTGGTGGATCGAGTGAGACACGATGTCCCAGATGTGCTCAGTTGGATTCAGGTCTGGGGAACGGGCGGGCCAGTCCATAGCATCAATGCATTCATCCTGCAGGAACTGCGGACACACTCCAGCTACATGAGGGCTAGCGTTGTCTTGTATTAGGAGGGACCCATGGCCAACCACACCAGTTTATGGTCTCACAAGAGGTCTGAGGGTCTCATCTCGGTACCTAATGACAGCCAGGCTGCCTTTGGCGAGCACATGGAGGGCTGTGCGGCCCTTCCCCATACCGACTCGCTGCCAAACCGGTCATGCTGGAGGATGTTGCAGGCAAAACTTTCTCCACGGCAGGTGTGATTGACTTGGAGTTAATTGTGCTCAGGGTCCGAAATTAACACTCGCCACTCACCAAATGCGAGCAAATTGCTCCATTTGGCGAGTAAATTTTTGAGCTCTATCTGCCACCTGGCGAGTAAATGTTTGCACCAAATTAGTTATGTTTATCAGTCATCTTCCATGGATTTCTGTGATACTCCTCCCACCTGCATGCAACGTACACAAACGTACACGAAACGTGAGCACTGCATCCAACGTCATTTCCGCCTATCCCATTCAATCAGTTTATCAAGTTAGCAGTTACCTTCGTGTTAAAACTAGCGGTGAAATGTGGCGGTTTTTAACTGGAGTCAGCCAGCCTTCCAAAGGAAAACTCGTCGAACTGGAAGAAAAACCACCAGGACCAGTGGCAACCAGAAGATTTTGTGAAAAGTGGCGAACTGGAGATGGCGGAGTCGTGAGACAATGGCTACATTATGATGGCCACGTAGCGTTGCTGCCTTTCACAGACAACTGTCCCTCGGCATTCTTCAAATATCCAAAAAATGCCCATACTTCCGACTTTGTCTTCTTTGAGGGATAATAAATGTCCCTAGTGCCATCTCTGGCCATTATTTCAGCTTTAGCTTAAAGAAAGTTTTGGTCGTAAACAACAAAGTGCGCATGTGCCGCCGGCAACTTTAGCAGATGATACGGTGGCTGGTAAGGGTCACCGCGCCTACACCACAGCCACGGTAACCCACAGAGATAATTTTTTTTTAAAAAACAAGACGGTTATTATTATTGTCAACTTTTTTACCGGGGTTTACTGCTACACCGGTTACCGTGACAACCCTAGCCCTGACACACTTTCAGATATTCTCATGGTGCAGCTGTGTTCTCCAGAGATCAAGGACTATGACCCAAATGAGGCTGTAATGCTTTGGCACAAAGACGGTGTCAGAAGCAGGAGGCCAGACTTCATGGACAGAGAAAACAAGGAGTCTGACTAGATTTCAATGAAAGAGTTCATAAAAACTTCTCTAAAAATAAATAAATAGTAAACATGACAAAAGAGTTAATTATTTTGTCACTCTGTTTGGAATCAACATAATATAGAATTACATGCTTTAGATAGATCTAAATCATTTAGAATTTTGGCCGGTAAAAAATATGCTTGGCCGGTAGATTTTCATCGTCTACCAGCCAACTTGGCCGGTGAGTAAAAAATTTAATTTCGGACCCTGATTGTGCTGTTAAGTGTTCCCTTTATTTTTGAGCAGTGTATTTTGCATGTGTAAAATCTAAAGGTTCTGAGTTTAAAGGAAAATAAAATTAGCTAATTTCTTTTATATTTTTCAACAGTAAAGTCCACATTTTAGGTTCTTTCCAGAATATCAAGATGGCCCGGACAGCAATATGTAACTTAATTTTAGGTAAGGACTGTAACTTTTCAAGTAAATGAACTAGTTGATCATTTCTAAACTCTGTAAACACACATTAATACTAAGAAAATGACCTTTAAACCACCTTACCCCCCACAGGAAGCCCACCTTCAAAGGTGTACGGTAACATCAGAATGGTGGCCAGCAGGACTGCAGAGAGATTCTGATTGGTTGCTGTGTGCATTCATCATGTCTTCACACTAGAGACTTCCATGTTGGCCTCGTGTTTTCAGAGGTCGTGTGGTTTTCTGACCAGCTCGAGTCATTTGTGAGGAATAAAAAAATTATTGGAAAGTTTGAATTCTGAGAATAAACACAGAATGTAAATAAAGGTCATGAAAGCACAGTCATTCTTGGGTCAAGACTTTCTGAAAGGTGTTCACACTGAGCTTGTGTTTACGTTTGAGGCTGGATTTGTTCAACCCCTTTAGGATGATGGCGCTCACTGAGAGAACGTCAGCACTGCAAAAAGATAACACGGGTCAAGTTTAGGGTTTGGGAGAGAAAAAGATGATCTCATTACTTTCAACATTTCAAAGTTTATTTAAATTTTATTTCATTTTCATACAGTATCAAGTTTCCAACAGTCCCACAGCATAATATGCAGCATGCAGAAAAAGAAAAAAAAAAAGGTTCTCCAACTTAAATCTTTTCAGATATCCCCACGCAAACTTAAAAGAACCCAAGTCCCTCAGAGAAAAAGTAGCACTTACAAACTAAAGCGCGGTCTGAACTATACAGAGAACAGAGAGCCAGAACTGCATTTAACAAATACTTATATACAAAAGAACAAAAACATCAAATTTCCCCTTTAAGCTGAGTACAGTGTGTGGCAGTTTGAGACAGGATCAGATATGCAACTTTGACTGGAATCGAAGCATCTCGCTGATCCGGGTAAAATACAAAAAGTTACATGTAGTTCAGTTCATTTGGATTACTGCTCATAATATGTGTACATTTACCAAAGTTTGGCAACATCCATATTGTATACCATTAAGTTCTTAAATATATTAACATCACCATTCATGTGTAAACAAGATTTTTATTTCAAAAAATTGATCTACATGCACAACAAAAATATACTTCCATGTCATGCAAGCACAGGGAGGCCCAAGCCGTGCAGAGCTTTGGGATGGGGGTGGGGGGGCTAATGGAGCGCTCCAGATCTGACTGATGGCTCCTGTTAAAACCAGCAGCTGGCCTCCAGAGCAAAACCAACCTCTATCCCAATGCTGCTTATAGTAAAACGTTTTTCCCATGAAAAATTAAAGAAATTTGGTTGACTTATTTATTTTGCTTCCTGCTCATTTCAGCAGGGATGGAGGGGAGGAAAACGATTGTGACAGAAAACAGGAAGAGGGAGTGGAAGCCAACTTTTGAAATGTACACGCTTTAACTCAAAGAGAAAAACCCCTAAATACTAGACTACCTCATTGCACACTGATCATACCAACGTCTTAAGATTTTAAGTGTTTGCGTTGAAGAAAACGGACCCGACTTCCTCAGAAGGGCTCAAGCAGAGGCAAAGCGTTCTCCTGCTGCTGTTCCATAAGATGGACACATCCATGACCTAATATACACATATTGGTTTTACAAAATGCTGCCTGCAGGTAAGTCCCTTAAATTGCATCGTCCTTGCACAAACAGCGTATAATCTCACAACTATTCACTCAGGTCTTTGACAAGTTTTTCCTGCAGTTGAACGAAAGCCTGAAATCCGTTCTGGTTCTGATGCAGTTCCCTAGCGCTGAGCTGTCCTTTACTTCCAGGACTGTCCTAAAGATGCACGCTGTTGGACGAAAATGCTTCTTTGAGAGTAAACCACGTTATAAGTTTTGCAGCCACTATTTTTGTCCTTTTCCTTTGTTGGTAAAAAGACATTTTCACGGCATTAAGTTTGTCTACCTAGAATTTATCTGACAGGAAATGAGGTTAATGTCCAACAATATAAACGCATTCTTAAGTATAAACAAACCTAGCAGACTTGTTACATAAAAAGGAGATGCTCTGCTAATAAGAGTGACTGGAAACTTCACTGGTCGGTTCAAACTGCGCGCGTGAGCCAAAATGGACAAAGAAAATCAGAAATGTTATTGTGTGTCTGATGACTCGCAGTCGTGTTGATGGAAGTGTTTTGCACCAGCTGATCCAACGTGAGCGACTGCGGGCGGCGATGATCGGTAATAACTGGAACTGGTGTCTGGATATGTTCTGGTTGGCACTTCATACCCTACTTTCTAGCTGTTCGGTAAGTGTTAAAACACTACACACTTCCCCTCACAAAACAACTGTAGATATACTTGTATTTTTTTCTTCTTTATAAAAGACAAGAACAAAAAAATAAATATCAAAAATAAACAATTAACAAAAAAGAAAGAGAATGAAATATGAACAAGCCAACCAGCCTCTTCACTGTGCCCCCTTTTCCCTCCATCCTCCCCTCATCCACAACCGGAGATGCTCTTGTAAAAAGACAAATGGATGCCCTTCAGTCTCTTAAAGTGCTACGACCGGGTTATTGAGGATTTACAGTTCAATAACACTTCAAAGTTGGCTTCACGAGGCCCGTGGTTTTCCAAAGAAAGTGGTGTCACAGAGAAAGATAGACAAAAAGAGAGAATACTTCCATTGATTTACACAGAGAGCGTTTTGCCAGACGTCTTGAGCAGATCTTCAGAGATGGTGGAGAAAGCGAGTGTCGAGGAGGGGGATTCAGCAAGCAGGGGGGGAGGCGCGCGCTCACACGTCCACCACCATCTTTTTGTGTATATCGAGACCGCCAACAACCTGGGAAAAAAAAAACCAACCATTCAGGACTCTGATTCTGACACACAATTCCATTTTCATTCAGTTCTGAGGCCATTTCTCATGTGTTTCGCTATTTTCTGTTAATTTGCAAGTAAATGTTTGGATCGTAGTTAGACGTCTATCTTCTGCTCCAAATAACATTCTGTGCACAAAACAAATAACCGGAGCTATCTGGGCTTTTATGGCTTTGTTTAAGTCTTTAGTAGATTTACTGAGTGCATTTCAGGATGGGTCTGCCTTGCAAGTCCACAACTTAAAGGGGCCATTTTTAGCATGTAGTATTGTTTCCTCATGATAAATACCCCCAACACCATGTTGGCTGCGTTTTCCTGTTCCAGCTATAAAAGTACAATTTTATTTTGAAATTCCTGAAACGTCCTAAAGTATAAGTTGTACATCACTCCATCTTCCTGCACCCAACACCAGGCCCTGCACCTCCCCCAGAAGCTAGTCTCTGGTCTGAAACCCATCTCCCCTGGCCAGCTAATGATAGTCTAGTGGTTAAGAGTGCTGGGCTGGCACACTGTATTATGTAGGTTCACATCCCGGTCTCAGCAGTAACGTTTTTAGCTGCTGATAGTTTCAACACTTTATTGGTAAACTGTTTAAAAACAAGGACAAATATGTATTATTTGTTTTTACTTTCTTTGTTTATTTAGTCAGTGTGAGTCCATGTGAGGTGAGCAGAGTAAATCAACTAAAATGCTGCTCGGAAACGACCATATTCAAAGATGTTTAGGGACGCTAAATATTTAACAGAAAATAATCAACAAAACTAAAATATAAAAACATGAAATCTGCTTCAGCTGGCTAAATAATTACTGCCGACACCAGGCAGACGCCTTTATAACAGGACTACCATAGCCAACACACCAACCAACTTGCCTAAGACGCTGTTGTAGGCACGGTTGTCGGAGCGGAGTTTCACTAAAACAAAACGTTTTATTTCTGGGTATAAATTTAAGCTGATGAAAACAACTGGTATTTAAGATACATGACTACAGTGCCAACGAGAACATTTTATCATATACTGTGAGTACCTCTGTTCTCAAAGGTTTAAAATGGCTTGATCTGGAACTATTAAAGTTTCCATCATGAATTAAAAGAAGATGAAACCAATTAGTATTTAAGCAATTGCATTTTAGATTTTTTTTAATATTTCAGAAAATGAAAACAGATTTAATTGTTCTTATTAGTCACCACAGGTTGTGAAGTTAAAACATGTAGATCAAGAGATTTGAAAACATATTTTAAAAGACACGTGTAATATGTATTTAGATCTAAGCTGTTTTAGAAACATTAAAATATCCTTCAGATGAAGGTAAACAGCCCCTCATGCCACACAGGCTAAACTAATCGATCTACGAGTCAGCAGGAACATTCGATAAAACTGAATCAGCTACATGAATCAATCACAGAAAACATTTTTGGATGATTGCTTCTTTCACATAAACCAAAACACAACTTAACAGAAAGCCTAACCAGGAGAGATAACAGGTGAATGCAGCATTGATAAAGCAGCACAAGAGCTTCTGATGGGAAATAAGTGGAAACGGGACATTTCCTAATGAACTAGACTCCATAGATTCACAGCAGTGCCAAACTTCTCTGTTGCCTATAATATCTACACCTATAAATAACCAGAGAAATCTATGTAAACAAAATCCCAGTGGTTTATAAAAAACAGCGCGAACTATGAAACTGAAGCCGTTTTAAGATGGCAGCAAAACACTCAACCATTAGCTCATCTGTTGGATGTAACTATTCTATTGTAACACATACAGGCTGACCTACTCCTCAAACATGGCTGCTAAAACACACCGACACAGATGAGAGCAGGCTATTCCAGACATTTTTCTCTCACCGCAGGAGAAGCTCAGACATCAGTAATGACATTAGCGATGGCTCCGTTCCATTAGGTGTCCCTGTAAGCCACCACAGTGAAGCAGCATGTTCTCCAGCAGAGCCACAATGTGATAAAATCTCAGCGCCACACTGGCAAATACGCAAATACTCCATCCTTTCTCCTACCATCACCCCTCAAACTAAATCTATTTTCATCACCACTGTCTTTGATTCAGCTGCTCACACAGAACAGCTACAGAGTGAGAAATGGTTTCTCTTTCTCCATCCTGGAAATAAACTCATTTCAGTTCAAGGCTCAGGAGATCTAGCTGTCAAATGTTGGTCTCCTCCCTGTCAGAGTCAGAAATGGAGCCTTTTATTTCAGAAGGTGTCTCAGAGCAAAGCCTGGAGGGGGTTCTTAAAAGAACACCACCCACTGTGTTGGACCAAATTTCTTCCCCTCTTTGATCTTAAATTAGATCTGGGCAGCAAGCCTCGACTATAAATCAGTGTGAAACCCGGCTTCTCTGTTTAAACATCATCTGTACAGATAAGATGTTTATCACAGCGATGCTCAAGACTGTTGGATGACACAGATCCTCCTACACGAGCGCCGTCTCAACAGAAGCATATCCCCTTTGACCTCTGGATCCTCTAAACAGGCTGCATCAGCAGAAATGTCATGGAGAACACACAGAAGGGACTTACTGCACAAAACTCTTCAAAGGATATCCTGCCGTCTCCGTCCTTGTCTGCATTTATAATAGTCTTGTCCACGATCTGCTGGAGCTGCGTGTCCTTCAAGTTGTTGCCTACCATCATTTTCAGCACTTGAAAGAGCTCGCCGTTGGAGATGTAGCCGTCCTTGTCCATGTCGTAGATCCTGAAAGCGACTGTGTGGAAACAGATGTATGGAAACACTGGCTGAGCACAGAACATTCTGTTTACAGAAGCATCTCTGGTAAGCCTTCAGCACGTTTTAACAACGCGGAAAGACCGAGATACAGGAAAAACTCTGAAACACACCTTTCAAGATGGAGACAAACTAGGGATGTTCCGATCATGTTTGCTTTGCTCCCGATCCAATTGCGAGTCACTTGACTGCAAGAACCTGCCGGTACTGAGGCCTGACACAATACTTTAGAAATGCGTTAAGAAAAAAGGGGAACACACTAGTTGTCCTTTAAAGGTGTAGTTTACTCATTTATTCAATGCATTAGCGGTGTTCTCTAGAGTAAATCAACGCCTTATGAGTAATTAAAAACTGAGCAGGGTTAGTTTTTGTTAAGGTTGAGCATCAGATTCGTAGTGGTAAACGCAGCACTACCTTTTCCACCTCGTTAATGCCCAGTGTGCAAGCATTACACGTGTGTTACGCTGCCTTAGTTGTTCGTTTAAAAACACATCCACATTACAGACATTTTCTCTCTCGAGGCGACAAGTACGCTCTGTTAGCTAGCAACTACATGCTATGGTGTGTGAATTCCTCTACTACCTTAAATAGTGGGACTTAAAGTGTTGATGTCTGAAAAAAAAATAGTGACGTAGAGGAACTTGTTGAATTTAAAACCAAGTCATTGTTATTCCATTCAAAAATCTCTTTCTCAGGATGAGTTTAAAAAGTAATGTTATTTGTTTTATTTGGTTCAATCAGATTTTTCCCATCGATTCCAATTTCCTGAAAATCACGTGATTGGACCCGATTTCTGATCACACGATCGGAGCATCCCTAAGACAAACACATGCATCTGAACTAATTTAGCAAAAACAAGTTTTATTTCTTTGCTGCACTATGAAGTTGAGGCCTGATAAACTCAAAGCAGCTGTAGTTTAGCGAAGAATAATCGTAACAGTCAGAGCGAGCGCGCTCCGGCCACGCGAGGATGTGAGAAACGTGCAGCTTCACTTACATCGCAGCTTCTGTTCTTTGTCTCCTTTCACACTAAACTGTGAGACGCCCTCGATAAACTCTAAAAAAAGAGAAAAAAATAGAAGAAGAAGAAAACAAACTTTAACATCACAAGCATCCCTCTTTTCCTTCTCTGGCGTTGATTTCACAAAAAACACATTAAAAAGCAACATGATATATTACACTGGGTCAAATTTAATAAAACACTACAGTTAAGCATGTTTTTATGTTAATGACGGCCATCTTTACCTTTAAAGTCCACCTCTCCGTTCCCGTCTGTGTCAAATATGTCGATAACCCTCTGCACCAGCGGGTTCTGTTGCAGCTCCGGCAGAGACATGAACTCCTCCACGCTGAGAGAGCCGGAGTTATCTAGGTCGAGTTTCTTAAACCTCTTCCCTAGCCTCTTAATCTCATCAGCATCGACTGGACAAAAAGAAACAGACACACAGAGAAGATCTGGATGACTTTGTAACTGATCGCTTTACCACAAAAAAATACAAAAAAGAGAGAAATCCGTGTCGCCCTGAAATCCGTCATATTGCACATAACAAAAGAATACAAGTAAAAAGTAACTGAAATGCAGAGTGTTTCTGCAAACACACGTGTCCTTGTTCATGAACTATTGAAGTCAAATGTTGAAGCCAGAAACCAAACAACACTTCAACCCAAACTATTAAACATCTTCTTCAGCTAAAACAAACAGGAGCAACTTCGTTTATGACCAAGTCTCTGATGTGATAAATGCAAAAGAAGAACGGGAGAGAAACACCAGCTGTGGATCCGGTTCAAAGGAAACATAACCTAGATGGAGCTCCTGTAAACTCACAGGCCTTGCTGTCAGCTGGTGCGTCTTTGCGAGGCGGCGTTTGGTCCCGTCTCTCTCCTGCCATCAGCAAAAAGCCTCCGCTCTCAGGCCCACGGCTGAGCAACAGTAAGGCGTAATCCAGACGCAACAACAAAGCCACTTGTTCATTTCTATATAAGCTCATTCACATACAGTCACATGATCACACCGACCAACCACCAACTCTTACTTTACATGCTTTAATCTGGGGTCCTAAATGACACAGGCCATTAACCTGGCTAAAAGACTATTTACATTGGTTCTGATCGAGTTTACCAACCTACACAAGAACAACAGCTTCAGCTGCCTGACAGGAAGCTGATATAGAATCACTAATCAATCCAAATAATTACTAGTCAGGGAATAAAAAAGAGCCAAATGTTACATCAGCAGCAGAGTTGAGCTGGAGTTTTAAAAATAAACCAGCTTCAGCCTTTTGGTAGCAAGTTGTAGAAGGTCAGGCTGGGAGTTTTCCAAGCTGATTTCACCTGCTTCTGAAAGGACAGGTGACAGACTTAACACCACGTATACGTATGGCTCCTTTTAGGTCTCTATGGTTTTATATTTACTCATGTTAGACAAGTCATACCCTATAGCCTGACTGAACGCCGGAGATCTGATCCCAACTATTAAATGAAAACCGACATCACCATCAAATCAAACCTGATTTTATAAGTCAGTGCCCACACACACTTTATTTATTAATGTACCTTCTCATATTAATAACAATGCTTTTCAACAGGTTTAATCATATCAGACATCAGAGGTGTGCCATCTTAGGTATCCCACAGCTCGATTCCATTCAGGGTCCTTTAATTCGATTATTAAACGATTACCACGATTTCTGATGCTTTTTTTCCCACAGTTCATCACGTCAAACCTTTTTCATACTTTAAAATTAATTTAGCATATATTAATTCAAATTACAAAATATCTTTTATTCTACTCCATTCATGTAAGACTGAGCGCATACCCAACATACTTTTGCATGAAATCTACAGGATAAATGTGAAAGTAAGCACGGGCAGACAGTTTTGCTTTTGCGAGCAGGATTAGGTGAGACAGCAAACTGGAGCGATGCTGAAATCCAGAGCTTCTGGATGCAGATCTTACGTTTAAATCAGACAGTTCACGTGGGACTGTGAAGGACAAACACCTTTTGGAGCATCTTGTGAAAAAACTTGTGTGGCTTCAGTCAGCATAAAAAACAAGTTGCGTTCAAGCTAAAAGGAAGTCTGATGGCGTGGAAACTGCCCCCCCCCCCCACCCACTTTATACCACTCTTTTAGTAAAACCACATGATCACTCCACATTAATCCTTCCTCGATTGTTGGCTGGTTAGGAGGAACCACCACCGACTTCTTTTCTTCATTTTCCCCAGGATGGAAGCGTGTAATGTGCTGTTGTGTGTCAGTAGCATTGCTGTTGTATTTTAGTTTAGTTTTACACTCATTTCCTTTTAAGTGTTGGCTGACGCAGCTCGGAAATATCGCGTGGACATCGAGGGCAGTTCCACTGGATTGCCAGACTGGGGCGGCGGTCCTCTATTTAAAAAGGCGAACCGCAAAGCATGTTGCAATTACAGGGAAATCACACTTCTGAGCCTCCCTGGTAAAGTCTATTCCGGGATTCTGGAGAGGAGGGTCCAGCGGATTGTCGAACCTCAGATTCAGGAGGAGCGATGCGGTTTTTGTCCTGGCCGTGGAACACTGGACCAGCTCTATACCCTAAAGGAGGTCTTGGAGAGTGCGTGGGAATTTGCCCAACCAATCTACGTGTGTTTTGTGGATTTGGAGAAGGACTTCGACCGCATCCCTAGGGGGGCCTTCTGGGGGGTACTCCGGGAGTATGGGGTACCAGGTCCTCTGATACGGGCTGTTAGGTCCCTGTATGACCGGTGTCAGAGCTTGGTCCACATTGCCGGCAGTAAGTCGAGCTCATTTCCAGTGAGAATTCCTCCAACACTTTGCAGATGTTTGTCGGCATTTATCTATAATCGTTTAATAATACACAGATCAATTTTGCATCGGCACATGTCACATGATGCATCGATAATGAGTTGAATTGGAACACCCATATAGGGAGCCTAAGTCTCCTCCCTTTCTGGTTTGCTCATGGGTCTCTGGAAGAATGAAAACATGAACGCAAGTCAACAGGACTAAAAGAGCTATTTTCTAACCCGCTTTGCCTTATGCCCTGGATTGCAAATATGTTGTACTTCAATTTAAATTTAAAGTAATGATGGGTGTTCAGGGGTGGACATTAACTTCAAAACCAACCGGCCAGCCGGGCCGGTAACTCTGAATATCTACCGGCCCGGCTGGTCAGCTGCCAAAACGAGTCAAAATAACTGAACCGTTTTATATGTAATAAACCTTTATTTTGTACACATTCACAAACATAATAACGTATTCAAGGTTGAATTTGTTTATTCCCTCAACAAAATTCGATTTTGTCGTCGCATACTTCCAGCATACAACGCAGTACATCACCAACTCCGCTTTGCTGTACTCGAGCCATTGACTGTGTTCGAGATGAGCCAGTTCTGCGCAGATTAGACCAGCGGTGATCGGCGAGCAGTGCATGCCGGTTAGATTTGTGTCCGAATTGACGCCGACTTGCTCTGACGTCATGCATACGTAGGCGACGATAACCTCGTGAGATCAAGGTGGCAGCAGATTTTGGAGCAAGGCGCTGCAGTTGCTCTCCACCGGCTGCAAAACCTAAAGGATGACGGGAAACGCCTGGCTCTCACCTGATCTAAGATCTGATTGGTTCATATTTTGATCCAAACATCCAGTGGTAGAACATGAAATGTTAATTGGTCAATGTATTCTGTAATTAATGTTATGTTGATGATGACAACTATATAGGCCATAAAGAGAAATTTGTTTTGTGTTCTTTTGTCACGTTTCCTATGAGCACACTGAAGCTACAGCTGATAACCTTTACTTATTATTACAGTCATGTCTTCATATACAACATATGATATCCACAAGCACGTGAGGATGGGTTTCAGCTGCTAACAGGCACCAGAATTAAAATTGAAAATTGAACAAGTGTGAACGCTAACGCGATATCTTCAGCCATCGTCACCCGTGAGCTAGACATGTAGGGAAATCTGTCCGACTTAAACGCCGGCTTTCAGCCTCTCCCCCTGCTGCTTCCGTCTGCTCTCGTCTGTTTTCCAGGCGAGGCGCTGCTCAACTCGAACACGGCCATTCTCTGCGCCTCCCGTCTTCTTTAAACCGACAAGAATCATTCCACCTACGCACACGCTTTTCTGCTTCATACCGTTTCAAACTGTCTCGCTCATCCTCACCAGTTTTAAAGCGTTTTGCTGGAGATTTCATCAAGAATTCCCATCCCTGTGGCGGCGGCATCTCCCTGCGTGCTTGTGTGTTTCTAGCGTGGTTCCACTTCGTCTTTAATAGTGAACTTATAGTTCACGTGACTATAACTAGAATCGTGCAGTACGTGGCTAGAGGCGCGCAGGTTCACGCGTGCGAAACGAAAACGGCGGCTTCCTACAGGGCGCGGCTATGATGTAGGTGAAAGCCGGTGTGTAAATGACAAACAAGGCTTGGGCGCCACCCGGGCGGTAAGTCGTCAAGTATCTACCGCCCGACGAGAAAATTTAGCGCCATTAGCGCTCGGGCACTTTAAAGGTCCCCCCTGGTGTTTGATGCCAGTCATGTACTTTGAGATTTATCAGCTTGTAAAAATTTGTAATTAGCATGACTACAAATCAGACGTCAGTATGTTGCATATATGACATCACCACAGAATCTCCTCTCCCCTAGTGTAGATGCTACTTACCACATGGCCAGATTAATCTATAAATGTAAGTCCTTAATCGACACTAGAACAGGCACAGATCATATAGAGGACTTAAGTTTACTAACTAACAAACCCACACGCTGAAGTCACTGATGCTGAGTGGTAAAGTAAATGATTTCTAGTTACATCCAAGGAGTATTCCTATGGAGTCTCTATTACCGGAGGGCTAAGGAATGATCAGGAGCACTAACTGGTTCCAGTTGGATGACTGGAGGATGATCTAGAAATATTGGAGATCGGGACGAGGAGTGATTAAACTGACGTGTGATCGGTAAACAGGTGAGTGAATCTTCCTTAAATGGGATGTCCCGCGGTCACGCCTTCCTTGTTGCTCGCTGGTCGTGATGCATTTGGATGTAAACATCCCCCTTTAGCTTCTGCTCAGATGACAACATCTTCAACACACCTCGCTAGTAACGCACTGCATTTTCTAATCAGTAAAGGAAACTATGTTGTAACGATGGAGAAAGTAATTCAGTTGATAACATGTTACGGAAATGCTAATTCTGTTGGTAACACCGTTATTTTCATTAATATTCATGAAAGACAAACACCTCTCTGATTGGCCTACAGCAACGCAACTCTTCATCTGCCTCTGTTCGCTCTTCTTTCTTGGGTAAAAAAAATGCAATGATAATGTTTAATCTCCACAAATAACACAAGCCTATCTGTTATGCCATGTTGTGAACAGGCTAATGCTAATATTAGCTTCAGCTAGCTGAGACGCAAACACAAGATC